TGCGAGTGTAGCTTTTTTTCCCCAAAATTTTGTCTTCAAAATAAGGGTACGTCTTATATTCCGAAAAAATACAGTATATGTACAGGGTGATTATAATAAAAAACTCCATACTTAAAATGATTATATTCTAACAACTACCTGTCCCAAGGAGATTAAATTTCACCAGTGGAACATTGATTATTTTTTTTTAAGGAAGTTTGGGCCTGATACGACAAACTCAAATTTTTGGAATTGCCACTTGTCCTGCAGAGCAGTTGACATAAAATGTTCGCTCATTCTCTACAGATTTTACTTACCTTAAAATGTGTTTCAAACAATATCTATAAGTGTGATAAAACTTAGATGCAGACCTTGGCTGGAAGGATTATCTTATAGGGACAGGTTAATATCTCAATTTATTTTCTCTTTAGAACATTAGGGTAAGAAGTGGTCTTTTGAAGATTATCTGAGGATAAAAGCTTCTAATTTTCCCTGTGCTCTAATCTGAAGATAATAGGATGAGAGGGCACAAGCTTAAGATTTCAGAATGACAGGCCAGACTCCAGTTAACACATTTTTGTTTTTCTATCAGGGCAATTGGCTTATGGAATGAGTTGCAGTCAGCAGTAGTGTTGGCCAACTTGTTACTGGAGAAAATGATGAATTCCTAAGAAACTAAAGGGTGGTTTTATAATTTTACTTTTCTCAAAATTGGGTGTACAAGGACAATCATGAAGGACCAAGTGGTCCCTTGTTGCGTTATGAAATAAAAACAGAGCTAACTTGTGAAGAAAGTGATGGAGGTATACAAGATAGTAAGATATCTATGAAATAAAAACAGAGCTAACTTGTGAAGAAAGTGATGGAGGCATACAAGATAGTATATTGGGAATTACTAACTAATCAACAACAAGCAGTTATGTTCTTGAAGTTGTTAGGCTGTACTTCGTAATTCTGTAACTTGTATTAATATAGTTTTGTACAAGTGTTTATGCATGAATGTATATATTTGGTGACATTGGAGTACATTATATAAATATCATAGCCCAAATTAGGTTGTTCAAGATATGGAAAGAATGGGAAAATGTTTTAGACTCTAAAGAATGGTTAGCAAATTCTCTATAAAATTATTTTGTGGTTATATACAACCTCGTATAATGATCTAAGTGCAATTCTGGTAAAATGATTTAATTGTTTAAAAAAAAAAAGATGACAAGTTAATGACAAAAGGTTATTATGCTTTCATTACTTTTTCTTAAAAGGTTGATTGTGGAAGCCATGGATCATAAGTAAAAAAAAAAAAAAAGTTAATTTGAACTGTATTAGGAAACATGGAGGATATGTCATGTCATCTTACACCCCGTGAAGAACAGGTAGGTTGTTTTTAAAGTGTAATTGTTTAATTAATATTAACTTCTGATCAGAGAAAGCTATGTACTTACGATGAAACTATAAAAATCAACCTGGCAATCAGAATAGCTGATTAAATATGTTTGTACGTATAAAGATTAGAATGTATTGTTTTATCAGTTAGGTGTCCTCACTGTTAACAATATTTTTCGCCATAATCCCAGTAATATTTTGTGAGAGATTTAGATTAGTCCTAAGTAGATATGTTTAGTTAACAATGCAAAATAATCTTTAAAATCAAATTTAAATTATAATAATAATAATAATTATCTTTTGAATTATAAAGAAATTCAAGATGTTATATAATTGCTTAACTTGTTTATTACTTTTCATACAAGTGGGAAAGGCCCAGCGTGGCCAGGTGGTTAGGGCCCTCGACTCGCAATCTGAGGGTCGTGGGTTCAAATC